GAGACATCCTGACTATCTTTACTCCAGTTGTCATGGATACAGTCACAAACGTGCCAAGGCGATGTAAACAGCCAAAGCTGGGGAGTGTGTTTTTTTTTTTTTTTTTGAGACTCCCCTTCACTTCTCTTGACCTTCCATTCTAACTCTGCCTGGAAACAGACGGGGAGGCGGGATTTGCCAGCTGCTGAAAATCCAAACTACCAAATTTGTGACATGAATATTGCATTAGAGTTCAAAAGCCGAGGCAAATTTATCTCAACCAGGACTGGTAATTAAATGTAGGATAAGGTGTCTCTAAATATGTTATGAAATATGTGAGGGTATTATTATTATTATTATTATTATTATTATTATTTTTACATTAAAATGTATTTTGTCAAGTGGACTTTAGAACAAGTTTAAAGTGGCAGCAGCTCAGGATTCCAATTTTTGGGGCGCCCCAAAGATTTTTTTTCTTTTTCTTTTCTTTTTTAAATGGTGTTTTGCAAATAACTTACAGATCCAAATCATATGAGTTGTTATAATCTACAATGTGTCAGTTTATACTTGCTGATGTATAAGACCTATACTGCCTTAGTAAAATAATTTTTTCCTTGGTGAATAATAGTCATGTATGCCTTTACTACTCGCATATATGGTGACAGATTGATTTTTCTTTAAAAAGATGACGCATTAAAGTCTTTGCAGGCTAATATGCTAACGTTAGCATGGGCTCATGGGTCCAACATTAGCTCAAACTGCCACGCCTTTTACTTGAGAGCCTTTAATGTTTTGTCCATTGTTGTGGAAAAAAAAACTATTACCAAGCACTGTTCAGGTAAAATCACTCAATCAGGTTTATTTATGAATTGTGCACAACTCAGAGAGCTCATAGGACAATCAATCATGAAGCAATTCTGGATGGAAAGCTCTGCCAGGCAGAGACAACACATGAGTCTTATATAAAAGGACATTTCTACAATTTTTATGGTGAGAAGTGAAAAATCATCCCATACATTGTAAGACATTACATATTCATTCAGTCATTGAAACATTATTCTGTATGATGAAACAAAAACATATACGCAGGATACAAAAAACCTACTGGCATTCATCCATTCATCCCTTTATTGTTTCACTTCTGTTAGGTAGGAAAAGTTACCCTGTAACCTCTCCTTGCCAGGGAGACGGTCCTCTGTATGTTTTGTCCTCTATATGTTTTGTCATCTTTTACAAAACTTTGAAAGGAGGAATTTGAAATGGTGTATTTGGAAGCAAAGTACCAGCGGAATACCAAACCATTTTCTAAGTAATATTTCCAATTGCTTAAATAAGTAATTATTTTTAATCCCAAATTCTTCCCTGCAAAATAAGTGCATGCATTTCAATCCTTAGACCTCCCTAACACGATAATTATGAATAATTTCATTTTACGTTGCTTATGTTAATGAAAATGTAGGTTTTACACTCATTTTAAATCCTAAATTTAAATGTAAAGTTTAGTTGATATTAAGTCATCCTCTTATGAAAATCTAATTAAAATTTAATATAATCTCATCCTCTTTGATTTTAATATAACCCACAGTATATTATAATCAACAAGTAAAATTTT